GGAGGACCACAGTGGGAACTCCAAGACACATTCGTGAGACAACCTGATCCCCTCTCCCCCAGCCTGGGCTCACTTCGCTCTGGGTATTAGGAGACTCCTGACCCAGGGCCCAAATCAAGGCTATCTCAGAGCAAGGTCAGGGCGTCAACGGGGCCCACCTGGACTTGTGTGGCAGAAGCAGAGAGGACCTGGAAGCCTAACTTGATGGGGGAGCATCCGGGAGAGAGAAGAATCGCCCTTTGGGCCTTTGGAAGTGAAGGCCCTGCAAGGGAAGCAGAGAGCAGGTAAGGGCAGGCCGCGGGTCAGACAGGTAGATCTGGGTTCCTCCCCTCACTGAAGAGGCGGTTCCGGGAGAAACAAGCAAAGCCAAAAGTGGGCAGACACTGCCAGGCAGGTGGGCGTGTCTGTGCCTGGTAGTGCCAGCATCGTCGGAGGGGCTTGTGCAAGAGTTGCCAACATGACGTGGCACTGGTTTGGGCTGTCAGCTTGAACCCTGTGGATCGCCAGGGATATGGTTGAGGGAATGCAGCTTAGGCATGATCCCAACACTTGGCAGAGGTCCCAGCCCCTCCTTTCGCCTGCGGGCTGAGATCAGAAACTGCTGCCCCCTGTTGACAGCGGGGAAAACCGTCACCGAAGAGCTGACTAACACTAAGCCGGCTTACAAGGCTCAGCACCAAAGGATTCTGGACTTGACCAAATGCAACTCCCGCATACAAGCTCTTTCCCTTGCATCTGCTTGTCTGTTTGTTTGTATGGGTGGAGGGGGGAGGGGAGCAATGAGTCTGGTGCTGCCAACGGTTAAGTAGTCTGGTGCTAATCAAAACGTTGGCAGCTCGTGGGCCTGGTCTACTGAACAGTCCATGAAGTAGCCAGATGCTCACCCGCATGCCCTCAGCCAGCTGCTGCAGGCCCTCTGCCACCTCCTCACATCATCTCCCCAGGACACCCCGAATGCACAGCCCCACCCCACCTCCTCTCAACAGCCACCATTATGAGCAGGTGCCCCAGAACCCCAATGAGGACCCAGAGACCACCATCCACTGCCAACTCATCCTCAAGCTCCATGCGTCCCGCATCCTCCTGCTTGGGCCGGCACGGGGTGGCTTTGAAGGATTCTGCCACATATTTTCTGCACAGTTTCACGAGGACAGGGTCCGTGCTGAGAAACCAACGAGGTGGCCAACTCTTCCTTCAGTATTCCAAAAAATCAGACGGTGAGGAGAGCAGGCTGGACACCACGGGGTGTGCACTGTGTTTAACTCCTGGAGTCGACCAAGCTGACCACCAATAAGAAAGACCCCCCACTCGTGGGACTTTCCTGAGACGCGATCCCTGAATGAGCAGGTGAAATGCATCAAAGAATTGGGTGGCTAGGGAACCCACTGGTGCAGGATGGGTGCCCCGGAACCTGGCCCAGTTGAGTGTCCCCTTGACAAGCACACCTGGGAGACCGTAAAGAAGAGCGCTAACCGTGAACCTGGCCCCACGGCCACAGGAGTAACTTCCAGGGTCACCAAGACAGCATGTGCATATTGAGTTTACATGTACCTTCTCTATAAATTGTACCAAAACCTCCTAAGTTTTCTCAATTGTAT